TTGTGTGACATGAAACAGCAGAATAGAAAAAAATCATCCATACCGTGTGTGAAAAGGCTTTGGTCTTTTGTGTCATGGTTCATGCACATATGGGAAATGACAGGCATGTCCCACACCTGTTTGTGGGCCGCGCCATGTCACAAGACAGCAGGAACACACAGCCCAAACTAGCAACATCACAGCCAAAGAGCAGATGTGTGGCCTGCACTTACTCATATGCATGCAAAATGGGATACAACGCTGCAGATCTTCTGCTTTATCTGGGATCGCAGTGAGTATGGGTCTATAAAGGGTCCAGGATAGGACATTGACCAGCAGTGATACAAAGCATTTTGAGGTGACTGTGTGTGGGGGAGGGTATTTTCTGGTGGCATCCAACAGTTTAATCCCAATTCAGTCCCAGACTAATTATGCAGACATAAGCAAAAGTACTACTTTCAAAAAAGAGCTTAATAAGTTCATGGAGGATAGGTCCATCAATGGCTATTAGCCAGAATGGACAGGAAAGGTGTCCCTAGTGCCAGGGGTGGGCAATAATTTTTGATGGGGGGACCACTTCAAGAATTTGGTAAGTGGTCAAGGGCCACACTCTTCCATGATATTAATGGAGGAGGTGCAGGGCCTGGGATGGAGGTTGAGTGCAGAAGAGAGCTCAGAGTAGGAGACTGGGGTGCAGAAGGGGTGCAGGGTTTGGGAAGGGGTATAGGTATGGGTTCAGGAGAGGATTCTGACCTGGAGGAGGGGTTTAGGAGGGGTATAGGGTCTGGGAGGGGGTTGTGACCAGTGGCAGAGGTGCAGGAAGGGGTGCAGGGATTTGGGTTGTGACCTGGGGCAGGGGCTTGGGTGCAGGCTCTGGGAGGGGGGTATGTGTGCAGGAGTGGGGGGGCAAAGGGTTTGGGTTATGTGAGGCAGGAGTGCAGGAGGGGGAGCAAAGGGTTGGAGGGAGGCAGAGAGTGACTTGTGGGTTGTGACCTGGGGCAGGGGCTTGGGTGCAGGCTCTGGGAGGGGGGTATGTGTGCAGGAGTGGGGGGGCAAAGGGTTTGGGTTATGTGAGGCAGGAGTGCAGGAGGGGGAGCAAAGGGTTGGAGGGAGGCAGAGAGTGACTTGTGTGCTAGAGACAGGTTCTGGCTGGGAGGCGTTTACCTAGATGGCTCCTAGCCAGCGCCTGGCAGGTCTCTCAGGCAGGCTCCCTGCCTGCCTGCCCCCACATGCCACTCAAATCAGCCAGCTGCAGAGGCCACATGCTGCTCTGAGTGCTGTGAGCCCAGGAAGGAGGGTACTTTGCATGCTGCCTGCCCGAAAAACAGGCAGCTCTCATTAGCCAGTTTCCCGGCCTCTAGCAGCTCCTCCCACTGCCATGGCCTGCAGCCTGGGAAGGGTGGGAAAGGCTCTGGGGGCCCCTGCCTCCAGCACCCTCCCTTCCCATAGCCTGAAGGCCTGCCGCCTGTCCAGGGCCTCTTGGTGGGGCCTCCTAGGTGGGCCCCGGGGTCTTTGGTGGAGGGGCCAGGGGCAGAGGGGCTACTTACCTGGTCTGGTGGCAGGCAAGGTGGCAGAGTCCCAACTGTGCTGGTCACTCTCTTGGGGTACATTTACACAACAGTGTTATTTCAGAATAACTTACGTTATTCCAAAATAACACAGTCTGTGTCTGCATTACAAGCAGTTATTTCGACATAATGTCAACATAATGTCGAGCTGGAGGACTTCTTACTCTGACTCCTGTAGCCTTCATTTTATAACGAATAAGGGAAGTCAGAGGAAGAGTGTTCTTTCTCGGACTTCCTGCTGTGTAGACAGCGCCAAAAGCCAAACTAAGCTATTTTGACTTAAGCTATGCAACTGACGTAGCTCAAGTTGCATAGCTTATTTCTGCTTTAGCCCTGCTGTATAGACATGCCCTCTGTAGTATGGCTGCCTGCTGTGGTTTCTGCAGTTCTCTCTCTCCCTGGCAGGCTTGCTGCCCCCAGTGGCCACTCTCAGTAACGCGTCCTTCTTCCCTGACTCTTCCTTCCCATGTAATGAAAAACAGTCCCATTCCCGGAACTTCCTGTTTTCCTGGAACAACCAAACCCTAACCTTGCTTTAAGTTATAGTAAGAGGAAATGGCATTCCAAATTTCCTCTTACCATTTAGGACGAGTGGTCCTTGCTCTTACCATTTAGGACGAGTTATTGAACAAACGAACTCACAGACAGACACACAGACATGCAGAAATCTCTAAAATATATTTATAGATTTCTATCAAATTCCTGTAGGGCTAGACTCCAACACAGTAATCTGGAAATTGTTCCCATAGCACTCTCACCGGGTCCAGTGAGTCCTCTCTTTGGGATGTAGGGTTTGGGCCAGGCTGGGTGACAGTATTTAGTTTCCTATAATCCATTGAAAATCTGATGGTTTTCTGCATTTTTTTATACCACTGCAATAGGTGATGCCAAGCAGCTTTTTGACTTAGTGATTTCAAGCATGTTCTCTACCTCCTCCTAGATTTGCTTCTATATTTCCCCTTTTGCCCAGTATGCTCTGCTAGGACTGAGCAGGGCCCAGAAGTTGGAATGGAGTATACAATCTTGCCAGTTAAGTCTGGCCAATTGGAGTGTAGGTCTACAGAAATTTGATAGAAATAATTCGTACCAAGGAAACAGAGAATGTGATTGTTAAATGTAGAAGTGTGCATTTGGTGTTTAAACTTCATGAAAACTAATGAAATGTTACATTTATTGTTCTCACTCATCTGTATGCTGTTATAATGTAACAGCAAACATCTGTGTGGTTTATATCCCTATAATTAAATATCACATCAAAAGAGACAGAAACCTTATGGAATGCAAATGAAGAACTTCAACAGAAACACACTAATTTCAAAGCCAGTGGTCATTATGGCCAGGTCTATGCTACAGAGGAAGGTCGATTTAAGGTATGCAATTCCAGCTATGTACATAACATAGCTGGAGTTGACGTACATTAAGCTGACCTTCCCCTGTGTTATAGATCTGGCCACACTGACCACTTAAACTGAACTCTTGTGCCATTCCCACAACAGGAGCTCGCTGGGAGAAATGGTCCTGTCAACTTTCCTTAGTCCTTGTGACAGTGAGGAGTACTGCAGTTGACGGAGGTGCCCTGAGTGTTTGATTTAGTAAAGATCTGCTAAATCGAACGCTGGAAGATTGACTGCCATCACGCTGATCTTCCCATCAGTATAGAAGTGGCCTGTGTGTGATGATCAGAGGTCAAGACTCAAAATGCATTCCTCCCTCTTCATCATCAAAGGAAAAGCCCACGTGAGCAGTGATGCTGTCAGCTTGTTTTCTTTTAGAAGAAACTGTAAGTATGGATTCAAGGAAGGATCCAGCATCTCTGGATTGTTTAGATTCATCCAGATAAGTTACTAGATGCAAAGCAGAGATCCCCAGAGACAATTTGGGTGCCCTAAAAAGAGTTTTAGGAAACTAGCAGTTTATTACATCACTGCCACTATTTGAAATTACAAACTCTGACTCACCTGTGCATATATTTTACTTGCTTTAACCTCTCAATAATTCTTACCTCCTTTTTATAGTGAATAAACCTTTAGTTAGTTTATCACTAGCTTGGGTGCCTGCCCTGTTTTCTGACAGTCTGTCCTGAGGTAGGCACTGACACTTGTGAGCCACCCCAGACAATGTGACAGCAGGCTTAGTCAGCAAGCAACAGCAGAGCAGGGAGGAGAATACAAAATCCTGCCAACCAATGCATACTGTAGCCACTAGTTGGCATTACTGCATCCCTACCACATCTCACCCACAGCTTCAAGAAGGTTTACTGAGATGTATACCTACACAACTTCTGATGGCTAAAATATTTTCCACACAACCTGTGTGGCACTGCCCCTAGAGATGCCAACCTCCCATTGCCCTCTAAGTGCCCTCCTGCTGATACCCTTTTACCAAATTATTCCCCCCCCCACACTAGTAGTTGTAATTTAGCAAATGGGTGTGTGCAGAAGGATCAAAGGTTGCAGTGTTCAGATTGTAGTGAGGTTTGTGGTATATGATAGTTGTAATCATAAGAGATGTGCTCATAGATGGAATAGTAGAGGTGACTTCATTTTTCACTTTTCTTGCTTTTTTGGGTGTGTGTTGGTAATATTTTATAGAATCATGGAAATGTAGGATGAATGGAACCTCGAGGTCATCTAGTCCTTCTCCTTGCAGTGAGGCATCTATATATCAACCCTCACTTCTTTACAGTGAAGATTTTTACATATTAATTTTCATGGGTTTTTAAGATTGTAGGATACTGGCGACAGTTACAATTTACAAGGATCCATATCCCACTCTGGGTCCTTGTGGCACTAGGACACGTTGGTGTCCAGAACTTGGTAGTGAAGTAAGACTTCTTGGTTTGTTCTGTAATCAGGCAATAGAATTTGGGGGTCTCAGCACAAAAATCAGCAAGATATAGCAGGATTCCAGAGACAGGACTTGGTAGCATGATATGCTGGAAAGTTAGAATGGTCTACTCTAGAATTTCTGTTTGTGTGTGTGCCCTACTTAGGATTGGATGTGTTCCGTAGTTAGGTTACTAGATCTGTGGGTTTGGGTGCAAAACTTCATGCCCCAGAACTAGGCTTTTGTAGTGCTATTGAGCTGGGACACATTGGGCTCCGGGATTTTTTTGGTGTGTTAGAATGGGTTAGGTTTCTTATTAATTTAAGTGGTTATATTTGGGGGCAAGGGTGCCTTACATCATGCCCTGGATCCAGATTTTTGTAGCCCTAAGGTTGCTGAGGTTTTGGTGCAGTAGGAGTGGTTGCATGTGTTCCATCAGAGGTGGACTTTGGGGGTTCAGGCACAATGACACGCCAACAGCCTCTATGTCCTAGCTCCAGGTCTTTGTGGCACTAGGGCACACTGGAGCGGTAGGAAAAGATTGGACGTGTTTTGTATTTAAACAGTGGAATTGGGAGTGGGGGGTTGGGTGCAAGGATCTGGCAGGATCCATGTAGATCCGGCTTTTCCCTTTGCCCTCAGCCCCCCGTGGAAACGGTGCATAAAGCGAGCTGGGGAGGCAGGCAGGCGGCGAGGAGCCGCTCTGAGCTCTGCTGTTTTTCCTAGAAACCGATCCGTGGACCTAGAAAATAACAGGAAGGGGAAAGCAAAGGGGGGAAAATACGAAGATCCTGTTTGCGGTCGCTGCCCGAGGAAGAATTTGGAGGAGAAGGATCCATATTTCTGCTGCCGCCGAGGCTGCGGCGCCGAGGATGGAGCGCGGGGCCATGTAGCGGGCTCGCCTCTCGGCCACGCTCTCTCCGCCCGCAGCGGGATTTCGGCCTCGGCCCGGGGGCCGCGGGGGCTGAGGGCAAGGCCGCCCCCTCCCCGCTGCACACGCCCCCCACCTCTCCCGCCGCCGAGGGAAGCGGCTGGTGCCCGGGGCCCGTCCCTGCTGCGGCGGCGGCTGCCTTCGCCTGGGCGGATCGCGCCCCGCCAGGGGCCGCTGGTTGCAGGGGGCGCGGGGCAGGCGGGAGGCGGCGGAGGGAAGCTGCCGATGGCGCGTCCGAGGCCCCGCGAGTACAAGGCTGGAGACCTGGTGTTCGCCAAGATGAAAGGCTACCCGCACTGGCCGGCCAGGGTGCGTGAGTACCGGGGTGGGGGTGGGGAACGTAGGGAGCCCGCTCAGCCAGCGCCCGGCGCGGCCCTTTCCCCGCGGCCGGGTCCTTTGCAAGCCCAGCCGCAGACCCCCTCCCTCTCCATGCCTCCTCCAGCGAGGAGCCTAGCTCGGGCTTGGGGCTGTTCCCGGCTCGGTTATTGTGCATCTTTGCTTGGATGTGCAGATTTCGCTCTCCCCCTCCCCCCTCCGCGAGAAGGAGGGGGTGAGAGTGGATTGTACCTGAATTATTAGTGTGGGGAAGAGGCCTGGGGAACTGGCAGCTCTGCATGAAAATGATGCTATTTATTATACGCCCTCCCCTCTCACTGCCTCTCTCCCCCCCACACACTACTGAGAGCACCCGCCTGCCTCCCCGCATGCACATTGCCAGGCAGGCGGTGGCAGAGAAGCTGCCTTTAGCCACAATATGAAGCCACGGAGAGGGAGAGAGACAAACAGGCACAGCCATCACAAGGCCGGATCTGTGTCTCTCTCAGCCCAGGAAGTGCCTCCTGCCTGGGAAACACGCTTGGGAGGAGAGCAAGGCCTAGAATTCAGGCAGCAACTCTTTGCAAGGTGCCTGATACACAGAATAGACCATATTTGGGGCTGCAGTGGGCGGAGGGGGCATGGTCTGCTGTAAAGAGATTAGTGTTAACATGGACCCAATCCTGAGGGATGCGAGTTATTCCTTGAGGAGGAGGAGTTGGGGATCCCTGGCTTCCATTCTTCCATACACCTCTCTAAATGCAGGCACATTGGCTTTCGTTCAGGGGCTGATTATGTGGAGAAGTCTTAGGCTTGTGAATCAGTGACTGGTTTGATTTTGTGGTGGTTTGGGGGTTGTGAGCTTTTTATTTTATTATTATTCCTTGCCCATCTTTGATTATAAATGGCTTTGAAATCACTGAGTTGGAAAAGCATCATGGGTATTTGGCAACCTAATAGGCATTCTATGGTATCTTTAATGTCCATATTCAGTATAGGCCCACTAACAAAGCAAGGCTTTGTGTTCTGATACCATAGCATACTTACAGCCTTCCCTTTTTTTGGTCACTATAATGGACTTTGTTGAAGGAGTGTTTGTTCATTGTCCATTCCATCCTGCTAGGGAAAATCACACCTATTCAATGCTACATTCTGTTTTCAGTCACCAGTAAAAGAAAGTTGTTGTTTATAATCTGAGAGAGCTTGAAGATTATAAAGCGTGGAACACACTTTGCAGGGAAGCATAGGGAAGTGGGGTCAAGGCAATGAAAAAAGGGTGCATGTAAGTGGTGAAAAGTGGACATTGTGAATGTGACAGAGTGTTGAGCTGTAGACACAGTACAAGGATACTGTACAGTACAAGCCTTTGATACACCAGTATCAAAGGCTTAAATTAAGATTGATAGAGAAGAGCAATATCAGAGGATGCTAAATGTTAAGTAGAACAGACATAAGGATGTACGCTCAATTGCTTTGGCAGAGCAGGCTGAAATTTATTTGTGAATAGCCATAAGAGCATAAGAACATAGCCTATAAAAACGGCCATGCTGGATTAGACCAAAAGTCCATCTAACCCGATGGCCACTGTTGGAAGACAGGCTAATACAAAGTACTTCAGAGGAAATGAACAGAACAAGTAATTCAAGTGATCCATGTCTAAACTTTACATTGCATTTGTAATTAATGTGTCTGATCAGCATTTATGTTCTTATATCTCTTTATGATGGCCAACATCATATTAAAGGTGATGATTTACATCAGAGAACAATGGAGTTTATTGTAAATCAATTTCTTTCTGACATCAATAATGGTTTAATTTCATCTGAAAATGGATCAGCAGATGACTTTAACACCTCAAGATCATTCCAGCTTTGGGTTTGATCCTGCTCCGGTTGAAGTCATTGGCATAACTCTTTGATTTGCTAAAATCTCTTCTCTTCTCCTCATTTGCATGCAGCAACATTATCTTTGGTGTGCAGTGAAGACTAAGCTTGTGGCCTTGTCCTTCTGAGTAAAAAAGGGTGCAATATTAACTCATATTAGCTAATGTGGCGACTAATTGAAGTCATTGGAAAACTTTCAGTAAACTTTTCTTAATTTTTTTTATCATGCACAGAATGCAGATGGGCACATCTTTGATTATGTGTTTAGTTGGCTAGTCAAAGTTATGACCCTCAAGATATGGATTCACTAGGGAAAAAGTTGTGTTAGCTAACATGTGTTAGGTGAAGACTTCAGTGAAGACAAAGCCATCTATCTATAATTTTAACATGAGGTTTTGCAGTTTGAGGTAAAGGCTATGGGATTGCTTTGTCTTCAGTAGTATTTTACCTTGTGTTAGGTATCATGTATTAGTGAACACAAGTTAACAACATGCCTATTTCCTTGTGAAGACTAGGCCACAGGGTTTATAGTAGTCCTCACTGTGCTCCAAGGAGTCTGTTGTGGTATGCAAGTGAGGAGAGAAGTCGAGATTGTTGCAGATGACATGTCAGGTCAGCTCTCCTGATTAATTGAACCTTAGTTATCAAGAGGTTTTGCTTAGGTGGAAGATCTTTATATAATCAAAGTTTAGATGCTCAGCACAGTGGAAAGTGGCTGATGTGCTGGGAAACCAATAGGGAAACCAATGCCTAAAAACCAATGGCATGCTACAGCTGTAGAACCTCACAGACCTTGTGATATTGAGCATCGTCTCACCAATTAACAACTTACCAAGGACCAAATCCTGCAGTCTTCAGTCAAGACTCTACTTGATAGTCACTCAGGTGTCTCCATGCTCTGTTAAAAAGACTTGCGTTACAAAACACTTGTCTTTGTAACGCTCTTTTAGATAGTTGGGATATGAAAGATGCCATTGAAGTCATACTGATCTGAAAGACTTCTCCATTTTGATCATGCAGGCTGAGTAAGGATGGCAGGAATTGAGCCAAAGTCAGTAAGTTTGGTGTCCAGTAGTATTCCCTGTAAGGTGACCACCCAGGCAAGATTCAGGTGCTACTCAGCTGATCAGCAGAGTGCCCGCCGTCACCCACAGCTGGCATCGCATGTTTCTGCTGGTGATGCACATATGCATATGGCTTGGTGCAGAATGCCCTGCCCATAGGTGAAAAAATTAGAGGGAACACTGGTCTCCAAGGTGACTTTTATGTGACTGGATCAAATACTATCTCGTGTCAAAAGGAAGAGTAGCAGTTTGGTGTAATAAGATGCAGGTAGCACATTGAATACTTCATGCATCCAAAGTAGGGATGTTAAATGGTGTTTAATCAACTAGTAGATGGAAATTCCTGGTGGCTCTTAATACATTTAAAAGACTAAAGCGCAACAGACAACGGAAGGGGGACCTGGGGTGAGCAAGGACAGCTGATTCCCGGCTCATGCCTGGTCCCCCCTGTGGCATCCAGGATAGCTAGATTCCTGGCTTGCACACAACCCCCTGCTATGCCGCTGCCTCCCCTGCACCTCATGGAGATGGTGCTGGGAGGAAACCAGCTTTTAAGCCAGCTCCTCCAAGCACCAGCTCCTGATCCCCGCTCTCTACCTTGCTGCCTCTCTTTGATAGAGGCTGCGGGAGGGGGGGCAGGGGAGGGAAGCGACTATCTGATAAGCATATGCTTATTGGATAGTCGACTAGTCGCTTACATCCCTTGTCCAAAGATGTTTTTCAAAGTCACGAGAGAAATTCTAAGTGGCCATAGCCTCTGCTGGGGTAAATAAGCAAAGTTCCATTCATGTAAATGGAACTATGTTGATTTACTCTAGCTGAGGATCCAGCCCTGACAATACATAGATTGCATAGACAGAAGAGGCATTTAAGTGTGCATACAGGAAGCAAGCTTGGGTGGCTGAGGTACTAGATTGAGACAGGAAATATAGGTTTGGGTCCCAGCTTTGCTAGAGACTTCCTGTGCAACGATGGGTTACTGTCTCTCTTGGCCTCAGTTCACTGACTGTAAAACAGGAACAACAACACTTTCCTACCTACCAAGGGTGAGTGTCAGTACATTAATTAGCATTTGTGACTTGCTCAGCTGCTACCAGGATGGGGGCTGTATCATTATCTAGATTCATAGGAAAATGTTCATTTCATCTTCCAGACATATTCTTCTGGTTTGTTGGTAGCTTTAATATTGGCCATTGGTTAGCCACTTGAGGTTAAATGAAAGGAAAAAAAATCAATAATTGTGTTCATTTCATCAGTGGTTCTGAAGACATAATATGCAATTAGATGACACAATGTGCAGGTGATTAACAAATAAGAAAAAGACTGTTAAGGCAAATGTAAAGAGAGGAACAAAATTCTGAATGATTTGAATAATCTACAAGTATGCCCAGGTAAGTGACTTATACAGTTCACTGAATAAAATGTAAGATAATGTGGCTTGGGATAAGAGAATGTGATTTGGGTAGACTAAGGCCAGGTCTACACTAGACCCAGCAGCTCAGTTTATGGTACACAATTTCAGCTATTTAGAATACGTAGCTGGAGTCAGCTTAATTTAAGCTGAGCTTTGTGGCATCCCCATAGTGGAAGGCCAATGGGAGCAAATGCTCCTGTCATCATCCCTTACTCTTCACTAGAGCAGGAGTACGGGATGCTGGTGGGGGCACCTTCTGAGTTTGATTTAGTGAGTCTTAACTAGACTCGCTAAATCGAACTCTGGATGATCGATCACAGCAGTGGCGATCTTCTGCAGCGTGAAGACACTGCAGATAGTTTGTGCAAGGACGGTTATGTTGGCTTGGAACAGTACGAAAGAGATCTACAGAAGTATTGCAGTGAACTTTAATTTGCCATGCACAAAAGGTTTAGATGCTTTTCACGTCTCATTCAGATGAGAGTATATCTCTTAGAGTGATTATGTTACATTAACGAATCACCAGTAATTAAAGTGTACAGTCTCTTGGGAATCTGAATTTCTTCACTTGTAGACCCACCTCTCTCTCCTTCTCCTTTATAATTCCATGCTGCTGCTTTTGATTGACATTCC